GAGGCGATATTGGCTCCCCAGGCCCTGAAGCTGGTGGTGGGACGACCCTTCCGGTGCGGCCTGTGTTCCCTCCATCCACTCTGGACCAGCCCCTGCCTTGTGCTATCCTGGCCTCAGAGAGTCCCTCTGTGGCCCTCTGTCTCTGCTCTTCTGCAAAGAGAATCTGGGCCCTAAGCCTGAAGATGAAAACAATCCAGAGGCAATTGGCTCCCCAGGCCCTGAAGCTGGTGGTGGGACGACCCTTCCGGTGCGGCCTGTGTTCCCTCCATCCACTCTGGACCAGCCCCTGCCTTGTGCTATCCTGGCCTCAGAGAGTCCCTCTGTGGCCCTCTTGGTCTCTGCTCGGCCACCTCCCGATACAAGGAGCCAGCCTGTCTCCCTGGCCTCTAAAACGCAGCCTCCAGTTAACCTTTCCTTGAGCCTTCCTGCAGTCCCCGTGGCCTTTCAGAGCCACCCAGTGGTGCCTGTGTCTCCTCCAAGTCCCGTCGAGGTCCACGAGGCCTCGGAAAGGCAGCCCCAGAATCTTCCTTGGCGTTTTCAAACACAGCCTCCAACTGTCCGAGCATCTGGAAACCAGGCTATGGCCACGCACGTCCCAGGGGTGCATTTTCAAACTGTGGACCCTCGGGTCTCACAGGCTGTCCAGGACTTTCAGGCCCTGCTTCCCGCTCGGCAGACCTACCACAGCAGCTGTTCAGTCCAGAAGATTTGTCCACATCAGTCTGCAGGCATACTGGAGGTTCCTAGGGAGCCAGTTGCTCAGGCTTTGGAGGCTCCGCCACTACACAGCCAGAAGCTATCTCAGAAGTTCCCTGAGGCTGCAGCTTCCGTCCCTGAGACCCAGCAGTCCAGCCCCTCTGAGAGCACCCCAGAATCTGAGGCAGTGAAGAAGAGTCACCCGCTTTTATAGGGACCAGGCCCCAGCCATCTGCCTGGCTGCCCAGGCCCTCTTTCAAAACCCACCAGTGTTTCTGCAGATTTAGCTGCCAACTTTATAAAAGCACAAATAACTTAGTCGTGTTTTGGAAACTTCCACCTGAAGTCCTGATCGATCTTAAACCAACAGACTCACTAGATTGCCTATGCCAAATTCCACTGTGGACAATTTTCTAGCTTCTGATAATATTTATTGCCAGAATGTTAAGCCATAATAAACTGTACTATTTCAAATGAAAAAAAAAAATCTTAAATATCACTCTTTATGTAGGAAATTATGTAGTCTTTTTTTTTAAAGGGGGGGACTTGGGGAGATAGGAAAGCTATAAGAAATGCTTTTTATGCCTTTTGTTCTTTAATAAAGGACCAGTGCCGTGAACTCCTTAGGTAATGCTACTTGTTCCTCTTCCTCACCCATGACCCATGTTTCTTGTCCTTCACTCTCTTTATCCCTGTCAGTGCCTTTGGTGCTGATAATCTGTTTTCATTTTTAACCAATTTAAAGTTACTTGACTACAGAAATTTTAAGTGATTTGGGATCATGGGGGAAGAATTAGACGCATATTTAGTATAGAAAATCTGCAACCAATTGACCTTCAAATCATGTAGAGACTACGAGACAGATTTTCCTGTCATGATTTTTGTGAAATGGAAGTGTTACCCACAGTATTTATAACCTGTTTATCTTAAGAGAATTTTTTAAAAAATTACCATGTGAATAGGCAACTCATTAAATGAAAATTAATAAGAAGTCATTTGTTATATCTCTCAAAACACACATTCAGAAGTTATTATTATTTCAGGGCTGGTTTGGAACAATCTTATGAAGACACAGTAAATTACTGCATAAATCATTCTTCAGGAAAGGAGGTTACCAATTGAGGCATTTAAAATGAATTATTATTTTGCCTGAGTTTCTTTTCTCCTCTAGTATAGGTAGAAGGTGAAATTAATTGAATTTATTATTAACATATGCGGCATCTAATTAAATTTCAGTGCTAGTCTATTTATATTTCCGCAACATTCCTTGTAACTTCTTAGTAGTCACTGGGCACCAACCTTCAATTCACAGATGTTGTAAATTAATATGAATTTTTCATAGGGCTCTAGAAAATCCCCAAGAATTAGTCTTCAGCTTTTCAAGGAATTATCATCAAGTAGATTTCATAAAGTACCAACTCTTTTCATTGAATGTGTAAAGTTCATCAAGGAATTAGGAGCTGTTAGAGCCGCTTAGCTTTCCTTAGTGGGGGCAGGGAGAACAAAACAGAATGTTATGTGGTCTGCAACTTATTGAAAAATAGGAAGAGGACAAACAAGGATGAGTGAAATGATTTAACCATGAGTCACAGCAATGACAGCATGAGTAAAGCCTTTCACAGATGAATTTAGACAAAAGTATGAGTGTACAGTGAATACTCAGAAGCCTGTGTATTTACTACAGTGAAATGGAGATAAACTTAACTCATGCCACAGGACATGTTTCAAAACAGTAACAAGATGTTTCTGAACACTTACTACACAGTAGGCACTCTATGTACTTTTATTCAGTCTTCGTGGGGGTCACATTCTTTCCTCTTGCAGTTCCCTGAGTAATTTTTGTGCATGTT